AGCTCTAAGAACTGCTTTTAAAAGTAATAAGTGCAGCACAGACACTTTTTCAACAGCACGTGTTTTACCAAGGAAACGGAGATGGTATGAGTAGGATGTATGGAAAGAAAGGATGAAAACATGGGGTGAATCTCAGCAAAGTCTTTCTCTAACGTGTTTACATTTGTTTTGAAATATTCATGGATGAAAGTTCACTCTTCGGGACCTATAATGCATGTACAAACTATGTATGAATTGTCCTAGAAGCAGGCTACAGCATACACTGAATAAGCTTTTCAGGGCAGAAACACCCATTTGTGTATTCTCCATTTGCAGCTACTTTCTTTCACAGTGGGAATATAGGCTCACATGGCTGTAAAGACTGAGAAGACCAGCCACCTCTTAACACGCCTGTGGATATAACCTCCAAGGCAGGTCATGTCTGATGTTAAAGTGATACAACGTTTGCTCTTTGACAAATAAAACTTCGGTAACGGCTTTCAAATAGAAAGTCTGCATTGTATTTAGTTTATTACAAACAGTGGTGGTGCTAGGACTTCACAGCTTTGCTTTGAGAATACTAAAGAATATTCATTCTTTTTGGATGAGCTGTGAATTTGCAGTATTGATGGATAGCAGCCTTCCTTTATTTGCTTGCCTCAAACATTTGTATAAGCATTTTTATTTTGTTTTCAAGAGTATCCATGGAAGCAGCGCATGCGCGTGCTGCAGCTCCCATGTTTGTGTGCATTCATCCAGGCCAGAAGACTCGCAAATAATTGTGCAAATGTGCGTTTGTGCAAGTTTTCAAGTCATAAATGATTTACTCGATCCTTCCTCCCAGTTATAAATGTTCCAACCACCCAGTCAAGAAGGACGCGTGGTTCCACGTGAACTAAATAACCAATTGCACCACTTGAAAAGTAAATGGCAAACAGGGAATACTAAAAGCAGTAGACACAATGGGTTCTAAGAGATTCATATGCTGAAGTGTTTAATAAAATACTCTTGAATAAATTTAAATTACAAGTACATTACTTGATTTCACATCTTGATGTCACAGAGCCTGCAGAGCTCTCTATTGTGAGCTGTCCTATTAACTTCAGCACGATTGTTCACCAAGATAAGCAGTTTCAGTGGATAAAGTGGTGTTTTCAAAATCCTTTTTTTTTTTTTCTTCCTAGGCAAATATTTTAACAGCAGATCCTCCCTGAGAATAAAACTGTGCAAGGTTTACATAGTTGTGCTGCACATTTACCACAGGAATGGGGGCTGCTGGAAAATGATGGTGGTTTAATCTCTCTGTCTCAGGTTGGCTTGACCACGAAATGATTATTCATAAGACACACAGCATTTGCTGTGTTTGCAAGACTCTGCTCTGCACCATCTTGATAGACACCCAAAGCTTGTGACAACTACCAGAGCTCGAGTGTGGATACGGGACATAAGAGCAGCCACTTGGCATGGGGCTGGTTCGCTCTTATTATTAATTTGTGGGTTGGGGTGCAGATCTCAGGTGTGGATGGCTGCACAGGGGCTTCATCAGAAACTTCTGACTCCAGTGACAGTTTACCTTTAGCTGACAAAACTGCAGTTATCGTGGGTGCCGTGGCCCCAGAAAACCAAAAACCAGCTTTGCCAGGGAGCCCCTGGGCCATTTTACTGCAGAGGCTCAGCCGAATCGCATCCACTTCTGCTACACGCACATTCATACCAAGAATTATTTTAAACAGTTTCCTACCCAAGGCAATTACCTTGGATATAAGTTTTAAAAATCCACGCAGAAATACAGCTATTATTTAAAATCCACTCAATGAGCCTCCTACCTCCACCTTTGACAAATACGGTAAAAGAACAAAATTGGGATTAATACAGGCAGGAGTTTGACTGATGTATCATTAATGCTACTTCTTGAGTGACTAAGCTCCATAGTAGTATCGACTCCTAGTACTGAAACATGATTTCATCCCCAAGACAACTGCAGCTCCAAACAAAGATAATATGCTGGATCCCTAAACTGTATGGCTCCCGTTATCATTACAAAGCTAATTTGTTGTAAAATGTTGTCTTAAAGAAGAAAAACAGGAAAACATTGAGGAACACCTAATAATTTGATTAGGAGGTTATCCTTTTCCATTCTGTTTCAACAATTTTGTTTGAAATCTTGGAATTGGGGACACTGAACAGGTGATTGTTCAAAACAGCATACAGGGTGCTTTATGGATCTAGTTGAGAAACATTTTAATGGAAAATTTCAATTGACCTGAAATTTACTCCGTGAAATGCTTTATTCATGTCAAAAGCAATTTGAGAGGCCGTTTAAGGTATTTTCAGCTTTTGCACATTTGTGTCTTAGATTTGTCTTTTTGAGGTAAGAGTGAAATGGTCCTTAAGACCATTAAAATAAAATTAAGTAGGTTTTTGTAGGTATTACTCCAAAACACCAAAAGAGTTTTAAAAATAGGTTTGAAGCCAGACTATTTAATCACATACAAAAATCTAGAACTGAAATTATTTTCTTGCTGTGTGTCTCCTCAGAGTTGCAACTGTTATGTTGATTTTACTAAAAGACCCATCCACTCCGAAGGAGTGATGCTCTGAAACAATCAAGGGGGTGTTGCTTTAAATCAGCTTCTAGAAACGGTTTTATTATTTTATGAAACAAAGGAACCTTTCCATGTCGAAATCAAAGTCCCATGATATGGTTTAAAACATGAATATTTTAATGTATCTATAGATTTTATCTTACAAAGACAGAACATACTGAAAATGTAGGAGAGAATGTAGTCTCTGTTCCTCATATCTGTGAACAGATGACAGCTTTCTCAAATTGTCCATTCTTAGCACATATTTGACAACTTTAAAATTTCTAACTTTGTAATTTGATTACGAGCATTTGAATTTTGAGCAGAACAGCTCAATTGCCGTTGGATAGATGGGTCCCATGAAATGCTTTTTTGTCTCCTAAACTGATGAGGACTCAAGGTTCACTTGCACGCAAGTGCTGGGTGCAATTTTCCCACAGATAGCCTCGCAAATAAAATGTGCTCAGGAAGGCGCTGCCCCAGTGATGCAATGAGACCGGAGATCAGCCAGCATTACCGGGCACTGTTTGCGATGCTGCCCATTTCTCATGACTTCACTGACGACTTTCTTTTTTTTAATAAGTTCTGACTTAAGCCCAGTTGAAATCAAGGCAAAAATTCCACCAGTTTCAATCAAAGCTGCACTTCATTTCTATGAATGAGATTCCTGGAAGACCATACTGAAATCATGACTTTGGGAAACTCAGGGATTTCTCCCGGAGACGACAGGCCCAGTCTAGCAGATCAAGCTCAGCAACTCCCGCAAGATGCAAACAAACTTATTTTCCACAGAAAACAGGGACCGAAGACAGTAGAACAAGCTCGGTGAAGATCACAAGATTCGGTTCAAGTGGGAGATGCTCAGCCTCTCTCAAGCAAACTCAGGAGCTCTCAGATGCAAGCCCTCATTTGCCAGGTGTCATAAAAGCCCATACCGAGAGTTAGATTTCCTTTAGGAGTCATAAAGCCAAGCATTATCATTACCTGTAAACCTTCACATTTCGGTAATTCTTTCTCTCTTTATTGTCTAAAAACATTTTCTTGTCCTACAGCTATTCTATGTATGCATACTACTACTGGGTAGCAAATCTGGTATTTTAAGAGAAAAATGATGTTACACTGTAGCCTCAAATTGTTAGCAAAAGGAGAACGTGAGAACAGATGTGAGGATGAGGTGCTTCTACCACGCTACAGCCTTTTCTGGGGAGGAAAAAAACCTCCGAATACAGCTGCTGGGCTCTGAACTAGAGCTGGGCTCGTCTGGGCTGAGCTGTCTGTCAGTTAGAATAAACCAGGAAACCAGGTTTGTAAAGTTTGCGTGTGCTAAGTTGTGCTGATGGAATTAGGTGCACTGCAGCCGATATGCCAAGTGCATTACCGTGGGAAGAAAAGACTCCAGCGTACCCCCACCCCCCCTAAGAGCCACAAAGCCGCTCAGCAAAAGTCAACGGCTTCCCTCTCCGCTCTCCCTTCCATCCAGCATCACGGAGGCTCTCTTAGCTGTTCCTGCTGGAGGGAACGGACCCAGCAGGTGAGAGGGCTCAGAGCCACCGCGGCCCCCGCTGCCAGCGCCTGCCCGCGGCGTGTGGCCCTTTCCTGGGGACGTGCTGGTTTCCCACGGTCGGAGCTCGGCGCGCTCGGCTGACAGATGTTGTTTCCCATCTGGGCTTTCCAATCTGCTGTGCCAAATCCTCTAAACACCCATGTGCTTCTTTGTCCCGGTAGTTACCCGCCGCGCCTTCTCTACAACTCCATTTTCAGAGAGGGAACCACATGTTTGGCCTCTGCGGGGAGCGGGGCTGTCCTGCTACCCATCTCAGCCACGAAACCACGTCTCTTTCGATCACCTAATATTATTCAGCCCGACCCTTGGGCTGTATTAAGCAACCCCGAGTCCACGCTGAAGCACTCGAACGCTACCGACACCACCTTCAACCGGGTTCCCGGTGGCTCTGTCTGAGGGTAGACGGGGAATAACTTGGGTTTCCACCGTCCTGCCCCAGAGCTGTGGCTGAGCCCCAAAGCCCCTGAGGCCAAAGCCCCCCCGGGTGGGTATCCCCAGCCCCGAAGCCCTGCAGCGCTCAAATGCACCCAAAAAACCCCAAACCCCACCAGGACCCTCCCCAAAACCTTGAGGCCCGGGGGGAAGAGGGGGGAGGGGGGGGGGGGGGTCCACGGAGCGAGGTCACCCCCTTGGGCAGAACTCCCCCGGGGCCGAGCTCCCCGCATCCCACCGCCCCGTTCCCATGGCAATCTCGGAGATGCCGGTTGCCACGGTAACGCCATCCTCCTCCTCGGGCCGTGTCCGACGCAGCGGCTCCGGTTCCTCCGGGGCTCTACCCGGTGGCTCCGGGAGCGCAGCCGGGGTGTGCCCGTCCCCCCCCCCGGGGGAAGTTGCTTCCCCCTCCGCTTCCCGGCGTCCCCCCTTCCCGGTACCTTCGAGGCAGCAAATCCTCCAAAGCCCCGAATGGGTGAGATCTCCCCTCGCCTTCTTCGGCGGCCCCTGCGTTTCGTCCGCCGTGATGTTGGTCCCGTTGCAGATGTGAGCGCTGGAGTACAGCCAGTAGTCGGTCCCGATGGCGATGGCCATGAGGCTGAAGGCGGCGAATGCCCCTACCGTAGTCAGAAGCATTTGGACGCCACGGTCACACCACACCATGGTGCTTCATAGTCCCCCGCAACGGGAGCGGGGGGCCGCACGACACCGCCCGGCAGCCG